CCTTTCCCAGCACGCGCCAGGGAACCAGGGACTTTGCCTCCAGGCACGCAGCCAGCTATTCGAGAGTAGCCAGGGCTTCCAGCCCACACTGGTTCAGGGCAGCCCCGTCCTCCAGAGGCAAGCTTCCCAGAGCACAACCTGGTTTCCGGGGCAACGACTTCCCAGGAGGCTACATGGGCCTCGATCTGTGCAACCATCTCCTGGCCGGTCACCCCGAGAGGGAGTGACTCCTGGGCTCCGACAAGGCTGCATAATGGTGACAGAAAGGAGCGCCTGCTCCGGCTACGGCTATGATGGAGCCAAGAGAGAGGAAGAAGCGGAGCATGCGCATCCATACTGCTGCGCCCTAGGTCACTGCGTAAGGCTCTTAATGATTGTTTTCATACCCCACTGATCTTTACAGCAGCCAGCCAGTCAGAAAGTAAAGAAAGTTATCTACTAATATTTCAGACACCGCCCCACCCCCCAATACTCATCTACAAGGTGCACTTCTCCTCCCAGACACAGTTCATCTCTTTGCCTGTCGTCAGCTGTGTGCCCTGCTGACGCTAAACTCACAGCCCACATTATTGAGGATGTTATACTAGAGTTTTTCTCCCTGCCTTTGTTTAAAGGCTCCTTTATGGTTTACCTACACCTGCTTTATTCTTTAAAAGGCCGACCTGTCCGTTCAGAGATGGCCATCGTAATGCCTCGGGGGTGCTGAGAAATACATCAGTACATACCGCTTCGTGCAGCTCCCTTCATTTCTGTGTGCACGCCAAGGAGGAGTTTGAAAACACTGGCTTCTGACTCAGTTCTGAGGGCCCTGGGTAACTGATGTTGGAAGGGGAAGATATCCTGTCTTTAACCTACGATCAGGGAAGCGCTGTGCTTTCTTTTCTGTTAACGATGTATTTTATTTTTGTGGCTCTGGTTGGTTGAACTTACCACTCAACAATTTCTACCTGTGCACTGTAGCGCCGGGTCACTGATTACATTCTTCAAGTTGTGCGACCATTCTCGCCTTCTTTTCTGAGTGTTCCCCCTATTAACATAAGCTCGATACTCCCTAAGGTTCCTAGTTCATCTTTGGCGTTACCGTTGTCAATTTTACCCCACACAGGGAGTTCTTAAAAGAGCCCAATTCCCAAAGCAGATGTGCTTTACTGGTTAAGTTGCACTGATGTTTGGTGTTAGGATGGCTCTGGGGGATGTTTATAGTTTAAGGCTTAAAGGTTATTGACGGCATCATCTCAGGGGTTCAGCCAGCTGCTATGGCTCCAGATATTCTGGATTCTATTAAAAATCTGAAATTCTATATTGTATTTTTCCTCTTGACTGAGCTTCTTCTGTAGACTCTGTGATCAAAATGTTCAGTAACGTAGCCAGGCACCATCCAGTTTTTCTGGTCTCATGTCAAAGGATGCAGTCTGTGGTTCTTGCAGGCAATGACCAAGAACCACACATTTCCTCTTCCAACTCCTGATTCTCCTTCCTCCTCCGCTGTGCGAGGCACACAGAGACAAGTGCTGTACTTGGATGGCCAACTGTAACCTTTAAAGGTGCCAGGTACTAGTAATGGACTAGGACGTGGAACAGAAACACCAAACAAGTTACTGGCAAATTAACTGGGATGTCACATGAAACCATGACCCCACTTCACTAAACAAAGGAGCCAAATTCTATGATTTTTTTTCTCATCCACTCTATCTGAGACCATCTAGTAGTAGCTGGGCACCATCTAGTTCTGGTCACAAAATAGGTAAAACCACGGTTCACTGTTTCTACCTTTTGACTATTGTGAAACTCAAACCAGACTCACTGCCATTGACTTGACACTATAGAACAGGTTAGAACTGGCCCTGAGGGTTTTCAAGGTTGTAAATCTCTATGGGAGCCCAAAGCCTTATTTGGCACATTGGGTGGGTTTGAACTGCTGATCTTGGGAGTTAGCAGCCCAATGCACAACTCATGAAGTCCTTATGGCTCCTGCTATAGTGCTGCCATAAACACTGATGTACAAGTATCTGCTTATGAAAAGCCAATTTTCCCAGCACCATTTATTGAAGATAATCTTTTTTCCTCATGACGTAGACTTAGTAACCTCATAAAAAATGAGCTGACCACAGATAGGCAGACTACCTCTGCACTCTCAATTCTATTCCACTGACTTATGTTATCTCTTGTTATGTCAGGACCAGGCTG